ACGAATCCTGGCCAACAATGCATTTGAGATGAGTGTTACAGGACGTTAAGTCGGCAGCCACTGGGTCATTTAGATCTCAGAATTCCGAGGTGTGTCAGACAGCAGGAGGCCGTTCAGACGAGTCCGGATAAGCCAGCAAGGTGTAGTTAGGCCGCCAAATTAAGGTAAGAATAACAGTAATAAGTGTCATTAGAAAAGAAGGTTTCAGGACGGCAGCGGCTATATTAAAAGCCAGATAGCATGTCAAGGGAAGGTCACGGGATGAGGGGAACAGAGGTTTTGGAAGGTAGACCCTAGAGTAATAACGTCTCGGATGTCGGGGAGCAGTCAGAAACAGGGGACTTGTCAGCCGAGGGTAGATTAGAGCCGGGTACGAAGTGGTAGTTGTCCAATTGAAAAAGTAATGCAAGCGGGGTGCGAACAGGAAAACGCTCTATCAAGAGGAAGTGGAAAAGCCAACCATGTTCTCAGGGAGATGTGAGCAGGCCGATAACTCGACCCATCCCTGGTCATTAGGGTCACAATAGATCGGACTTTACAAACTGGCATACTGTCAGAGCCGAAGTGACCTTATTATAACGCCTCGAGGATTGCATTTGGATCATAGCCGCTTACTGCGGCCAATATTTAAGCGTCGAGTACCCTATATCACTCTTGTAAAAGGCCACAACCTCAGCTTCCTAAGCAAGAAAAAGGCGTCATGTCTACCTTGTATAGGACGAAGCATATGGAATCCACTACCAAAGGACTAAAATAGGCCGATTCTTTGAAAAGTTTTAAGTTAAGCATCGACGGTTAATTGGGAAAACTATGCTTTTTGAAACGGTGCAAATACAATGCAAATAAATAACTGACTAAATTCCTTATTCTCTTGCGGTGCGGGGCACGCCTGTGTAGGCGTGATCATGTTACAGGTACCACCAAACGCCGGGGAATGTTTAGAACATGGTGCGTTAGCCATGAACATTGGAGCTGAGAGTTCATTCATGTATGTGGAAATGCATGCGAATATCCGTTACTCCAGTATAAATATGTGCCAATACAATCGTGACTGATCTCGTGGATAGTATACGAAGGGTTGAAAGACGTCCGTGGTGAGAGTGTGGTTGCTAGGTTGGGTAATCATGGGGCCGTGACTGCAGTTAGAGGCGAGTCTCCTCCTCCTCGTCGCAGTGCTATTAAACAGACATAAATAAGAATTCCTAACCGGGATTAAAGGATCAACCAAATAAACACAACGTCGACAAACTACAATTAAATGTTTCGGCTTTTCGTGAATCGATAGAGTTAATAAATAAATAAATGCAGGATGTATTTCCGCTAGAACTACGCACACCAGTGAAGGCGTGCACAAATATGTATAAAAGCATTACTGTATTGGAATAGTAAACCGTTCCGCCTTTATTAAATATACAGGCTTACTGTGCGTAGTTTATACGAGGGAGCAACTTGTCAGGTAATAGTGGGTTCCTGTAATATGGTGTGCTTGGGCACGAAAATATCAGAGTTCCAACTGTTGTGGCAATACCTTATTTCTGCTTGATTTTGCCATGTGGTAATCCCCGAGCAAAGGAGGCAATGTAAAATTTCGGTACAATTGTTTTACATTGAAAATAGGATTTTTCGATGTTCCGTTAGGGCATTCTCCATATACCAATCAGTTGAATAAGCCATTTCAGTAAGCGGTTGCAGGGGATTCGTATAGAAGTTTAATGACTGGGCCGGGGTGAAATGCTAGGCTAGGAAATTATTCAGCGGCGAGTCGCATCCGCTACGTTTCAGCTTTGTTAAATGTACAATCCTGTATTTATCGGGGGAAGCTTGCCAGGCGGTACTACACCACATCCTAGAACATTGCGGAGATTAGTTTGAAAGGTAATGCAAGCTGGAGATGCATTGTATAAACCGAGTTTTCACCCAGTTATTCGTAGGGACTTTTCTACTTTCTCTTACATACACTACCCCTGCACATGCAGAATGCTTCAACAAAACTTAACTACGTCCAAAGAAGTGGGTTATTGAACCAAGTTGTTTACACAGGCGGCAAGGAAATACAAATGAGAGACAAACACTTTCAACTGTCAGGCGGGTGAAAGTGTGCCTTTATTCGTACAATGTTCCTTTTTTAACATGTTTGCATTTTTGGGCCCGCTCAAGTCGACACAACAAAAGTGAGCAAAGAGAGCGTGATGGTTTCCTAACATCTTATTCTTGCACACGCTTCGGTACCATGTATCAGCCACTTGGTCTACGGGAGTCCAGTTACTACAACCTGTTAATAAAAGTTTATCAAAATTTATTCATACCATGAACATATTTATTTATTTATTTATGTGCTATATGGCATGATTCCCTGACTGGCACGTAGAACGGCCGGCATATTTTCATGACTGTATAAAATTTACCTCCTTATAACAAGTTATGCCTACCTTCGCACACAGAGCCAGTCAATTGGGTAGATTACCGTGAAATCGGGCGATGGTAAGTGGCAGATTGCGCAAAATGAAAAGCAAATCATTCATACTAGGTAACACCAAGCGGCGAAGCATAACAAGCGTAAAAGGAAAGCAAGGCAAAACACACCTGCGTCGATCCAAGTTGCTTTGAATCAAAGGAATTTTGCAGCTGGTTATCTTTAATATTACTTGTTTACTCAGAAACTGTTTTCCAACATATATCGGCTAAAAAACGCGATTAGCGTAGCAAACCGACCCTTCTGGTTACCGCAGGATACAGTCTGATCAGCCGCCTTAGGACGCTGCGGTGCTTGCACCAGGAAAATGTACTCCTGGTGTCTAAGATACTTGGAAATCCAACAGCCGCTTGAAACCAACCTCAGACTAATCATTTACAAGGCCGCCAGAGGACGGTGCCAGAGGGAAAGTAGAACGAACATGCATCATCCTCCATTTGAAGGGCCCCCTGGTCGTTACCTTGTGTCAAGCCGCCTAAGTTGAGCTGGCAAAACGGCTGTAGTTCGTTTCCAATACACCATTAATATGTGCCTGGTTAAGCTAAGGTCTCCGCTGCAGCAATAGTAGTTCGCCATTGTTTTACGAACAAAACTTTAGAACTCTTGCCTAGGGCAGGGGTTCGCATCCGGTCCTAATAGACGTTTTATGCTAGTTGCTGTGTTGAGTGCGATCAGACCTCGACCACACAAACGTGCAGACTCTTAGCTGTATGTGACCTGAGTTTCTAGTGTGTATACATGGGCGTAGTGCTCGGCCAGCAGTTCCGCTTTACATCAGTTTCCTAGAGTACGGAAGCAAGCCAAGTTAGGCTCCAAGGACGAATTAGGCTACTGTCTGACAAGCGTTCTGTATTAGGTACTAAAATGCGAAAAGGGCCGCCTGTGCTTCGACTAGTGGTTTACTTCTATTGCCTTCGTAAAATAAGCAAAGCGGGAGCGGGAGCAACATTTTGCCTTGCTGGGCTCATCGACCAAGGGGTCTCTGGCAATTCCCAATGGAATAACAGCTGTGGTAAAACAGCTAATAGTGATAGGAGATAATAGCTTAGTTACGCCATAGCCGGCTTCAAACTATCACATAAAACACAAGTCGCGCCTAGGACCAAAACCGGTATTGTAAAGCCGCTTCTCCTGATTCTTCAGGGAATTTATTTTGCCAAGCCAATCGTTACTAGTATAATTCGTGACCCCATAAAAGTTCCACAATTCATCCCATAGTTTCTTGTGTTGGGTCAAGAAAAGCCGTAGTATAAGATCAAGCAACAGATGACACCTCACGAACGGTTATTGTCTCAACTTTGCAATAACTTTTGTAACTAGCAACTCATTTCAGAAAGCAGAAGAGTGCAGCCATGAGTTCAAGTCTGGTGGATTGGATGGATGGGATGATCCCGTGAGCGTGCCTCTTTACGAGGATCTTTCAGCCATGAATCAATGAGGTGTTCGGAATACTTGATAGACCCAAAACAGAACACCCGTAGCACAGTCTGGCTAACGGATGACTGACAAAACTTCTTGCTTCCGAATTCCCTGTTTTGTTAAAGACGTGAATTAAGCAAATTCGGAAGAGATCAAAGCTACTAATTAACGAAGGTCAATTAAGATGTTGAATGATTCCAATGCATGACTCGAAGTACAGAAAATAAAATCGCAGTATGCAGGTATTTGAGGTGCAGATATTATGGGACACTCCGGTTGACCTTGCTTAAGTAACAAACGAAATTGACTTGGATATGCAGCTTTCAGTCTGATAATAGCTGGTAAAACTCCTCGGAACTCCTAATGCAACGCTCAAGGTATTCGCATCGGAAAGCAGCTTCCACGGTGGACAGGTTCAGGAATGCTGCTCTGGCCACATATCATTATGGCAAGGCATTTAAACCATCCAAATATCACATACAAACCAATGATTGAAATAGCGGTAACTGTATGAGAGCAAGGAAACCTGTAAACATATGCTCCTGACTTAATTATTGGATGCTAGGCTATACCATGTGACGGGACTTTGACTACTAGACTGCACAACTAGCCTTGCCCCGTACAGTATAGCATACCTCATAATTAAAAGTGAATACAGGAGCGTAGTTATCCATAAAATGTATTCCTAAAGTTACTAGGATTACTATACTCTTAGCTGGGACTTTGGTAACAGCTCTTATTTATTCGTAACTATTTAGGCTTGTTAAATAACTAACGGCTGAGGATATAATAATGGAACATCGTTAGATTAGCTCATTGCATTTTTTAATTTTTCACAAGTTTTTTTAATTGCTTGCTAACACGTTCGTCTCACTTTCAAAACCACGCGGTTGCTAGCTTGGGTTCGTCAGGTTCGCGGGTGGCAGTAATTTGAAATTTGATGTTGCGCTTGCGGACTACATGTGAATGCCACCAATGTCCACGCATTATTCGTCGTGTTCTAATACCCTGTATGCTGCGCCAAGCCGTTTTTGAGTACCTTGTTAGGAATAAGAATTTCCTTACGCGATGTGTATGATACACGTGACGTACTGGAAACTATCATTGTGCTCAGCCAAGTATTTCGCTAAGTTACATTAACTATGGATTCACAATATTTAATATTATAACACATTATGCATCCTAGTTTTTAAACGAAGGATAAAATGAGTTACCCATTAACCTTAACAGATCTAACCCACTATGCGCCCTCGCCCGTGCTCCAGGCTTTCTACACCCGCAAATCTGACGCTTCGTCGCTAGCTTGATGACGCATATTAGTTTAATTGATGCGGCTATCAAGTCATTTGTAGAAGCCCCGCGTAAAACAGGCGGAAGAGTTGTGTACACAAAAGTTGACTTCAATACTTTTAATTCTGATTTCCTTGGTGCAGGAACAACTACAAAGTTTACGTTTCTCACGAATCGTACGCGAATGGCCCCCTTCTTTTGATCGAAGATTTTCCCGTTCTAAATTCAGAAAAAACACTTGTTTATATCCTCCACTTAACCGTTTATCGTACTGCAAATCTCTGACTCGCGTGAGTGATACAAGTCGTTCCGATAGTAAGTTTATCCCAGTGCACCTGTCTAAATCTTTTAGATGATAGAAGCGATGCTAAAAAGCTTTTATACCTTTGCGACGACGCTGTTGTTTCAGCGGCTGTCGGCGACGGTACAGAGACTAGAAAAGATCGCGGTTCGGAATCAAGCTTTTATGATCGACCAACATTATCATTTCAAGCACTTCGTAGCCGTCAACGTTTTGTTAAATGCTCTGTAAACATACCAGACTGGTATGTTCATGGCCCTCGAGCGGTTGAAGAAGAAATGGAGATTTCTGACTGCAATATGCATGATGTGGGTCATTCCCCAGCTTCGTGTCCCGCGAAGTGTCTCGATGATGAGAAAGAAAATGCGTCGAAACCAATTATGGGCGGTAATTTAAGCTCACTACCTTGTTTAATTGCTTTTAGACTACAAGAAGTTTGGTCACAAAGCTGGGTCAGCTCTTCAGTTTCAATGTCGTAAGCTAAGTATTTCCGTATAGCAAGTAATTGGTTTCAAAACTTTAGAAGGTTTCGCAAGCGATGCGATGCAGAATGAGTCTGAGAGAATCGGTTTCAGAAGTAGGGCTATCATTTACTATTTTTAGCTGAGCGAGCTCCAAATGTTACTACTTTACGTGAGATTGAATCTAACTTAAATATTGAATCCGAAAATTTGAGTCACAAATACGACATGAGTGCCTGTTATAAACTACTGGGTCTTGTTGGAAAATCCACTCCGGATTCTCTCACACATCCAGTCCAAGGAGAAGACTCGTTTCGGCGCAGCGCCGACTGTAGGAGTACGAACAACAATCAGCCACATGTAACTAAGTGCAAATTGATGCATCCCACGGCTGAACTTTTTAATGACCCCGCTGTATCCAACTTTGTAGAAAAAGGTCAATCAATTTGTGCAGATTTATCACATGAATCAAACCCACATATACTAAATGCCAAAGTTTGCTTTCTTTTAATTTGGCTATAGTTTTAAACAGGCAAAACTAAACATGGCAACGCAGATGGCTTGTAACCCACTAACAGCATCATATCAGCGCCAAATGATGGCTTCTGGACCTTTGGGACATAATGTAACTTTCCTTCTTTACTGAACGTATTTTTAGGCGCTGCGATGGTTTAAAGCGATGGTTAGTCACTGTTGTTTTACGCTGACAAGTCTTAGACGAATGCAGCGGCAGCTAACGCGTGTATTAGTCAGCGAGTAGATGGATCAGCTACACATTTGGCTGCAAAGGAATCCGGTGAGAACTTTAGTGAAGGTAAAGTTCTGCTTCTTGCGATTTGCACGTACGACAGTCGATTCACAAGAAAGAGTAAAATATAATTCTTCTGAGAACCCTTGTCAAAAGCCAAACGAAGTTGACCGGTTTGTTCCTTTCCATACTCCCACACAAGTTGACGCCAGCAGACAAGATGAAATGACGGCTTCACCTGTTAACCAGCTCTACAAACCGCTCTTTGATTGGCCGTTTTATTTTGGATCATCTAGATTAATGCTCGACTCTGCATTTGGAGTGGGGTTTAATCTGTCTTCACGTCATTTGAAACCACCGATGTTCTATTACCACCCCCAGATGATGCAGTTTTTGAGCCGACCATTGGTGCATCCACTTATTTTGCAGCAAATCTTACAGCGTCAATTTAGTCTCAGAAGTAAGTCATGAAAACTATTTATCAGCTATATTTGTTTCTTTGCAATTTTCTACCTTTCTGTTTAGTTACGTTTGTCACCACAATTCTGCACCATATTTCGTTGTATGAACTTATATGGCAGCTTACCTGTCAAATGTAAGAAGCCCTAACTAATCAGCGTTCACTAGTCACCGAGTACCTCTTCCTGTTTACCTGTATCATTTAAATTGTTCACTAAACGCGCTCGCTGTAGTTAAGCAAGTAATTTTACGGAACCTTGTACTATTCTTTTTTTTAACTTTTCTGCTCGATTCAAAATTATAATGAAGCGTAAAGTCCCTATATTGCGCTCTTCTATTTATCCTAATAAACTACGTACAATTCTTTTTATTCGTTTATATAAGGTTATCAAACGGCAAACATTCTCCTTGAAAAATGTCACGAGACTCCAGGCGGTTTTCTTTAACTGGTTTTTCGGTCTTCAACGACAAAGGCCTGTCGCTCGAATGTGGCCATCTTACGGACTACACCAACTATTGCTTCGATAGGTGTTGCCTTGTTGAAACGATCCATCTAAGAGCAGGTAGATTTTGCTCACCGATACCTGAGCGACTTCGAAGAATGAAAGAATTGGTCTACAAGTGCAAGAATGTTGGCCATGGCAAAAGCCTAACCACGGTAATTAAATACGTGATAAACTGATTAAACTAATTATATATCAAAGCAGTTCTGGGCAACCATAACTGTTGCGATCTATGGGGGCATCTGAGGCAGCTCTGTGGTAAGAAGGTTTACAGCCGGTGAGGTGAAGTGGGTGTGGACAAACTAAATTCGGAGTTTAGTTCCGCCTCACTAAGCTCAGCTTCCTTGTCCTTCTTCATTAGCTCAAGTCCAGACGCGCCCTTCGATCAAAGCAACGTCCACAAGAAACTCAAAAGATTAAAGGCAACGAAAGGTTGTGGTCTGAATGCTCTCTCACCATTGGCTTTAAAGGAGTGTGCTGCTTCTCTCACACTGCCTCTCACAGACTTCTTTAACAAATGCCTCCCTGTGAGTGCGATCCCGAACGTTTGGTGAATGGCCAGTATTACTCTGGTACCAAAAGCCGGATCTCAAAACTATCGTCCAATCGCATGTACCTGTGTACTCCTAAAGGTTTTCTAAAGACGGTTAATTCCGCGAATTTTTCCGCCACTCTTAAAGACGATATCTACCAGTTTGCCTATAGACCCCAGCGCTCCACATTGCATACAGTGGCAGATGTCATTCATTCTATAGCCTCTGCATTAGAGCAAAAAGTAAATCCTTACAGCTGCACTTCCTGATTTGCTCAAATGCCTTTGGAAGGCTGGTTGAGTCAAGGTTGCAAAACATACTATCCGAAAATGGGGTTTATCCTGGTGTGTGCAATCTGTTACGTGGCTATGTTACAGATAGTGCTCACTTCACCAAGTTGAACGGCAAGAAATTCTGTTCTCCGTGCCGACTGTAGTGTTCTACTAGGAGCGATCCCATCAATTTTTCTATTTTCCTTGTATGTTGAACATTTCCCCATACAAACCATGTTTATAGGGTGTAACTATGCTGATGATATGCTGGGATGTATGTCCCCCATTAACCATGTTTCCTCATCACTTCAACGTGCGTTGGAAGATCTGGTGAAATGGGCTTCATCCAGGTCTCTTACACTTAATGCTTCTAAGTGCAGGGATGTAATATCTTTTCTACGTGGCGATAGGTTGCAGTCCCTCATAGCCTTCTTTCCCACACTTAATGTGAGTAAAAATCCCATACCCAGCTTTCCCACCATCAAATACCTCGGCGCATATTTGTCCCAGAACATTTCTTGGTTCGTGCACGTCTGCAGAACTTTACAAAAAGTCAGGAAGCTTTCTTTCTATGCCCTCAAATTTAAGGTGGCTTCAGTACCTCGCACTTTAATATCCAGGTTTGTGACCGTGTGTCTTATTCTCCATTGACTATACGGCTGTCCTATCAATTCCCGCGGGCTGCTTCAGAAAGACTACATCTTATTAGTGCGATCTATAAAGCACATTTCTAGATGCAGCGGCTTGTCTAGAGATTCTTTAGTTGATTTGATCATTTCTAGACATTTTGCTGTCTGCAATCATTTTTCTTATAAGGTACTAACTGACCAATTTCATCCACTTCACAACTCACTTTCCAAACGCTCTCTTTCTCTTCTGCGCGTTCGCAATTCAGAATTTTCTTCTCCCCCAGGTCATCGTATCGTAATACTGTCTTTCTTAATCGCTCACATTGGTCTGTGGACACAACAAAAGTCACTAACATGCTGCACGAAAGCATGTTGGAGTATCAGTTCTGCTTTTTGTCCACTTTTCTACCAGAGCATTTATATTGATATTATCCAGGTGTTTGCAGTGGTCGTGTAAATGCTGAAAATGAACTCATCAGTGTACATAAAGCTTATTTGGACTTGAATTGACTCGACTATATGCTGTGTTACCAAAGTCGTCCCTATGTGCCGTCTGACCGCGCCACATCATGCATACAACTATAAGATATATATATGGTTGGCGGCATCCGGTTCCGGATTTGCCTTTCACTGTGATCTCCACAGGATGCTTACGCTGACAACACGACCATGGGTGGCTTACGTTGCATCCCCCACAGCTCCGTCCACACACACCATATCTAGGGAATAAGACCGGGAGGCATGTGGATGAGAGCCACGTTTCATCAACGGAGTCGACCCACACTTTTTACAGGAAAACACAAGCACGCTATGTTTATTAATCAGGCACACAAAAGACGTTGGCTGGACCGTAGTCCGCTCCACACTGAGTGCATGGAACGACTCTTTGAGCCTAGCATGGCAACGAGGACCGTGTACCCCGTCCCATCCAGCAACGACCAACTGACTCCTAGCGCCAATACAGACGAGGAAAGGAGTAATAGACAGCTAGGCACCTTGTCAACATGCACCTCAAGCGCAACCACACCGTGGATGTAAAACAACAGCCAATCACCTGAAATACCTTTATCAAATAAAATATCTGTTAAAGCATATCGCTATGCTGACCTTTCGATAAATTATCATGTAAAGTAAGTTGGTTATCAACGAGTCCGAGCTAAATACAAAATGTCCACAAGCTAGTCACCTTGTCAACATGCGCATCAAGCGCAACCACCTTGGAGATGTCAAGCAGAAGCCAATCACATGAAATGAAATAAGCAATACAATAGGCCGAGTACATCATACGGATATACCACTAAATTACCACATGATGTAAGTGAATTACCAACAGTGCCGCGATATATTGAAGAGGAGGGAAAAGGGATAAAAAAACTAGAATTAATACAACACACGACGTTAAACACTTTTCGTTTAGGCGAAAATCGAAATTTATTAGTTAATTCAGGCGGCCATTAAAATGAAGAAATAAAATAAGCATTAAGCCAAGATAGCAAACCAACCACTTGCAGTAAAGATACTCAGCACGCAAGCATGCGGTTAGTAAGTCGAATGCAGCGTACCTGCATAGGTTGCCTCGGTTCTGCCTACGTTCTCAGTAGAACCCGTTCTCGTTTCTATGTTGGTCCCGAGTGGCCGCGCTCTTGGCTACCTAGCACTGGCTGACTCAGGCATTCGCGACCACATGTGCTACAGCACCACGCGCTCGAAATCGATGGAGTACAGTCTATACGCGCCTGTAGCTTCCTCAACTGCTGCTTCTTCTCTGCATGCACGAGGGCTTACTCTTTCACCTAGGCAAAGGTCTTCGTGATCCAATCCCGCCATGTAGCCTGATCAACCGCCTTAAATGCCCAACACTTGTAATCAATATTAGAACGTGTTAGAGTCACTTTGATCATGTCCTGGTAACGAAATTTCGGTTTTCCCACGCGCCGCTTACCAGCACTTAGTTGGCCACACAGTAGCTGTTTCAGTATCCGCGTCGAATCCATACGCTGCACATGACCGAGCCACCTAAGGTTTCTCAGCAAAAGTATGCATCCCACTTCGGCTCAGCGCCTTCGTGTCTGCAACTTGGTCGCACCAACCGATGCGCAGAATCTGTCGCAGACACTGTTGATGAAACCGCCCAAAAAATCTCACATCTCGTAGGTACGTCGTCCACGTTTCACTGCCTTATGGAAGAACGGACAACACCATGGATTTGTACACCATCAACTTCGTGGCGACGGTAGGCTGGATCTTACCGAGGTGCGGTGGTTAGTGTGCCTCAGCGATCCATTGAGCTATGCTGGGTGGTGCTTTTTTGCACTTTCAGAGCCACTCATGCCAGATTGGTCAGTGGTTAGAGGCCAGACAAACTCAGCATCCTGATCCTCCAGGTTGGGGGTTAAAATGAGGTGATTCCTTATTCCTTAAAACGGATTCCTTGTAGCCCAAACGTGCTGCCTTGTGGTCAGGTTTTTGAACCAAAGGCTTTGATTGAGAACCCTAATCGTCCTTCTGTCTAGGTCTGGGCAACCTGACTGTATCCTGCCCACGCAATACAATGAATTTCTCTTCAAACAACTTCCTGATGCTTTGGCCACCGCAGAGGATAATCAACGGTGCCCTATCTGCTGCATCGAGCAGGGTGGATAGGGGTTTGGATGCTACTGCTCAAGCCTTCCCATCTTTTTATTCCTCCCCTTACGCTTTTTCTCTCGTCCCGTCCCGTTCCAACTTCACTTACACCCCTCCCCCAGTTTTCAACCCCCAATTTTTGGCTCCCCCCACCTTACTTTGCTAGGCTTTTACCTTCTAATTTCAACTCACATGTGAACGCGGAGCGTCATTCCTGTCCTGCCGACAAGCGCATGTCCAACCAAGCGGCCAAGCTCAGTTTATCGACTTCCATTTGGAGCCTTCGATCATCCTTCAGATTGGCATGCCTCAATGTACGCACACTGCTACAGATCGGTCAACAGGCATCACTTGCCTGAACATTAGAGACCCTCTCGATCGATAGTTGCTGCTTATCGGAGACCCGCCTGCAAGACTCGAGCTCTGTGCTCACTCTGCG